GAAAGGAGAAGGACCGTGGGTGGCGCATCGGACTGAGGTGTCGGGCTCGGTGTATTGAGCATGAGAATAATCCGAATCCCGCCAAAAAGAAACGAGTACCTGTTGAGGCGCCCATCATGAACTGCCGCACGATCATACTGCCACGGACGGCCCAAAAGCAAATGACACGCGTCCATCGGAACAACATCGCACCAAGCTTGATCACGATAAGTGGGGCGAGACAAGGACCCGACGATCCACAGTGACCGCGTTACCCTTCTGTATCCATGCGAGCTTATAAGGATGTGGATGGGGCTCGCACGTTAACTGCAACTTGTCCACCGCCTCCAGAGCAACAACATTTTCACACGAACCGGAATCGATAATAAAGCGGCAAATTTTGTTACCGACAGTGCACGTTGACTCGAAAAGATGGTTGCGCTCCGAATCCATAGAACCTTTCGGCGAGAGGCAAGCACGTCGAATCACGAGAGCCGTGCCCACATCACCTGCTACGTATTCTTCCCTCTCGACCGGCTCCGTATTGTATACGGGCAGCCCATCAGTCACAACATCGTCGACCACCTCAGAAAACAACGCGCGGGTATTAGCATTGCAGGGACACACAGTCTGTCGACGGCCCGCTTCTCCACAACCGAAACACCTCAACCCGGCCACCGCACGTGCCCCAGATGTCGCCGACTGCGGACCCCCGGTCCCGCTCTGCCGCGGCTGTGAACCACCGGAAGGCGAGAAACGGCCCGCCCCAGCTCCCTGACCGAAGCTGCTACCACCTGCCGGACCCCCAGCCCCAAACGCCGTACCCTGCCGCGAAGAAGAACCAAATGAAGGTCCCGATTTTTGTGCCAGCTGGGACTCAAGAAGTAGTGCCCGTTGGTGAGCATCAGAGACCGTTTCCGGGCGAAAATGGTTCAACGTGTCACGTATATTCAAACGAAGTCCACCCACATAACGCGACACCAACTGATTTTTAGTTTCACGTAACTCAACACGGGTTAAGAGACGATAGAATTCATTCGTGTAATCGTCGACCGACCGTGTTCCCTGACGCAAATTTTAGAGCTGTTGGTACATGATAGTATCGAAATTGAAGGGGACAAACTCACGTTCTACCAAATCCCTAAACTTCGTCCACGAAGTGATACTTGGTTTGC